GAGGCATTGTTCTTTCCAACCAATTATTTGTCTCGGAATCGTCTGTGCAGTGAGTTGGCTCTGAGCCAAATCTCTTAGCTAGCTGGGTTAGCAATTATAAGTGAACCACTGTCCAAAAGCTATTAGCTGCGTAATCTGACGTAAAGCCATGGCCAAATTTAAAAGTCTATTTTTTTATTTACAATTTACAATAAAAAAATTCAAAAATTTCGAAATTTAACTGTGGGAAAAAGCTGACCTTGCATGAACCATCCGAAAAAATGCGCCTTCCACGATTTCGTTCGGCCGTATCCGAACAATCAATGAAGTCCGGCCAGAGTTTGTATTCCAGTAAGAAGCCACAATTATTCATAGCTCTATAGCACATTTCCTTTCGAAAAACTTGCCATAGTTCTGCGCTGCCAGGCTGAAATCACATATTTTAATGAGTACTTTCTCAGTAGAACATCGAAAGTCCCGACCGGGAGGAGGAAGGAAGGAGGGGGTGAATGGCTTTTGGTTCCTCCTCGTCCCTTCAGCAGCACAGGTAGCAGTGCTAAAAGTGTAGAAAACTCTCTCCCGCATCCCCTTTTCGCATCGCATCGTGTATCAGAGTACCTAAAGGAGCACCAAAAAGAAAAACCATTTCTCGTGCGCTTGTTTTAACGGTACAGTTCACATTTCTCACTATTTTTCAACTGCACGAGTCTGAAACGAACGATGAGCCGCCAGAAGTAAAGTTACCCGCAGTTGCCAACTGAAAAACCGATTAAGTGACCTCCAGCGATGGGAAACCCTTCAGAAAATGTATTACTAGAAACGCATGGGGTACCATAAAGAGGCAGTTATGCGACTTTTCTAATTCTCGCAAATTCTTTTGTTTTAGAGTTAATGGAGTATCACTGGGAAATAATTACTCTTAGGAAGTGACAAAAAAAAATGGGAAATATAACTGCCAATACATACTTCTTTCATTGAATACTCGAAAAACGATCGATTTGCGCACGGTCGATAAGCCACAGCACAGAGCAACGGTCCCATCACTGACCAGCATCTAAAAAAAAATGACCAAAATCATTGGAAAATCTGTTGGAACATAGCTACAAACGCTATAGCTAAAACCGAATTTTCCAGAAAATGAAGACTGGATCCTAATCAAAGATAAAAGATCAAATTAGATAAGAACCCACGATGTATACACGTGTTAATTTAATCTTTTAGCTTAACTGTGGAAGTTCCAGAGAAAAAAACTCCTCAAATTCAAAACCCCCTCCATATTCAAAGGCGGGTCCAGGGCGGCTTCTTTGGCGAGGGGAGGAGGAGAGAGGAGGGCAATTTTTTTCTCCCATCCTCTGCCCTCCTCTCCCCGGTAAGTCAGTACATCGCAAACTCTACTAACCCCTCCCTCCCCCTCCTCGCTCCCCGCCCGCTTATCACTATATACCCAGATAAAAATGAAAAATTTAACTCAAAAATGTCAAAAAAGCAAATTTGAACAAATTCAAGTCACCATCGCGGAAATTCCAGGAGGAAGTCAAAAATGATGTACGACTCGTTTCTCCAGCAACCATACCATCGGCCTTTTTCCGAATCACCTTTCACCCTCCTCCCCCTCGTCCCTCGCCCCTCCCCTCCCTCTTTTCCCCTCCTCTTCCCCCACCCTCCCTGTCAAATAAATACGATTTCGAGAATGAAATGCATTAATAATAAAGTAAATACCTGGGGAATTTGCTGATCACTTTATATTTCGGCAGATCGTCCAGGACTGGCTTATCCAGAACAAAGTTGTAGCGGATCGGCGTCCCAAAACAATTTTCTTCCGGTAGTGGCTTCACACAGATCCCGGTGCTCTGGTTCAGATATTCCAATCGACATTCCTTGTTACATACCCAATCCGTCCGCGTACAGTTTGCTTGAGCATAGAAAATCTGTAACGCAAACAATAGCGCTGTATGACACATAAAACGTGCCTCAGTACCAACTCCAACAGAGAATCCCCGCACACCAGAGTTACCCGGGAAATTAATTTAACACTAATTTAGTTTTAAAATCTTCGTACTAATGACGCCTAGCTCTGGTAATGGTAAGAAATGTATACGACTTAATGAGCCAAAATACTTTTTACCATTATATTAATCTCACAAATTCTCAAATTTTTTTTTCTTTTTTCTCTTTATTTCATTCCTTCTTATTATAACTTTTCACTAAAAATCATCAAAAACGAGTAATTTTTTTCCAGAACAAAAAAAAAGATAATGCTTCCAACCTGTTTAGCGAACGGAGACATGTCCAGAATGGAATATTCCTTCGTTGCATCATTACGACGACGCAGTAAAGCACTCTGATAAGGTGTCAGAAGAAGTAACAAAAGGGAGAGTTGTATTCGAATAAACGAATTCTTCTCCATCGATATTACTGCGTCATATATGAAATACGCTGGAAAAAAAACTACAGTGAAATAAAGCAAAACGCAACCTGTAATGACGCTGTAACAAATAACTTATTGCCAAAAAGATGATCAAAAAAGTTGTAAAAAACCAAAAAAGATGCAAAAATCGATGAAATCGGTGAAATTTAAAACTGTGATATTTGTTACAGCTGTAAGAAGCTGAAGGCGGGTCTCATTTTACTGTAGGCACTTGTTTTTCGGTAGTTAATTTTTTATGTATTAAATTTTTCCATATAAATGTATTTAATATCTAAGCTTGTGACTTTTTCTGTTGATTATTGGCGATTTTTGGATTGAATGTGCGAATTTATATTTTGTTTATACTTCTTTATTTTTTCAAAAAAAAAAATATCTTAAGGTGTAGGGGGTTCAACGAGGAATATTTCACTTTGGTCGGATTCTTCGACTCTCCAAGACGACAGAGTACCTCAACGTGATCTTAGGGGGCAAGGCTTGGAAACGAAGCTGTATCGCTCAACAAGCGTCCAGGAATCTCCACGTGATTAAAACCTTGCCAAGGCAATTCTGTGTTAGAAAAGCCACTGAGCTGGTACTTCCTTCAGAATACAAAAGGAATGATAAACTGCGGCCGTTAGATGGCCGCCGAACTGTAACTTTAAAAGAAATGGACGGTCCGAAGAAATCAAAATGTGGAACGGCCGGAGTTAGAAAGTTAAAAAACGAAATGTCGCCAGAAGCCAGACGACTGACGACCAGACAATGCAACATTGGTCATAATAGAAAGCTGTAATAGGAAAAAATAGAAAGAAAAGAAGGAAAAGGAAGATGAAAAATGAAAATTAGAAAATTTGTAATATTATTATAATGGTAAAAAGTATTTCGGCCCATTAAGTCATATACATTTCTTACCATTACCACAACTGGACCTCGTCAGTACAACACGATTAGGGCAACTGAAGTTAGTGAAAGCTAGGGTCATAATAACCATGAAATTAAGTAGGAAAAAAATAGTATTTTACCAACTAGTACCACTGGGGATAGTGACCCGAATATAATTCAAATAGTAAACTGGTAATTGCTTCAAGCATCAAGTACGTATCAGGTGCGGTTCTCAAGCATGGTCCTCCCAAACGTACAACTGAGAAGCCTCTTCGGTCTTGGCTCATTTAATGGTCATCCTTATCCAGTGGTCATGTACCGGTCATCCTGCTGGCTATTTCATGGCGTTTGTTTCGTCTCTTCGAGGGATTATTGGCTCGGTGGTTCTCTCGACAGAACCACTTTGACAAAATTTTAACCGTTCCAAGGTCACTTATATATGTATATGTATATATACATATATATGCCACTTATATATGTACATATACCATTATAATAATATACAAGTGAACCGAAACACTTCTTATCAACATATACATATACATATGTAATAGAAAGAGAGGAATAGAAGGATTTCACTTGAATTTCATGTGTATGAAGACATTTTATGACGCTGTCTGTGTTTCTCATCCCTTAGCTGTATACACAAACCGAACATATATATGTATATATATATATATATATATATACATATGTATATATATATGTATATA